GGGGGTGGGGGTGGTAGCGGCAACGGATGGTGACCGGTGTCTGTTTGGAGCCGAGCCTACGGGCGACGGCGAGTTGACAGCGCCAGCAGCGCTAACAAGAGCGTGGAAGGAGAAAGAAACAATATGCAGAGTAACCATTTTTGATCATCGATAGCTATTACTGGTAGCGAGAATCCAAGAAAAGGCAAAGTATGGACCCGGACGACAACAATCAGAAGCTCTTTTTATCAGGACCTTGTCCAACAACCGAACCACTCCCAACCACAACAAACACTTGAAACAACGCCTACACCACACACACACCTACACACACCTGTAGGCCACGGCAGGCGAAGATAGCGGGGGGCACCTCCCCCAGATCGTTGGACGACAGGTCCAACTCCCTGATGGATATCGACAGCGGCAAGCTCCCGGGCGGCGCTATCGCCGGCGGCGCCAAGAACGCCTCCACGGCCGCGGACGACGAGAGGGAATTCCGGCGGAGGGAGAGGCGGTAGATGGCCATGCGGGCCAGCGCGTCGGGCAAGGCGGAGAGGCCGTTGTTGTCCGCTTCGATGGTCGTGAGGTTTTCGAATCGGGAGATTTCGCCGGGGAGGGTCTGNGGGGGGGGGGGGGGGGGGGGGGGGGGGGGGGGGGGGGGGGGGGGGGAGAGCGTTTGGCATGCCTTCGCGGGTAGGCCATTGACCACGCGTCCTTGAGACGGCGGAGCATTGTTCCCAAATGATTGAAGCGGACAGAGTTTGTTACACCTATTTCCTTCAACTGACCTTGCACCGCTGCACAACGGAAAAGGGTCCTTTCCCTTCCACATGTTCCACCGATATCCACCTTGCCATTGTTGCTCGGCCGCACCGCACCTCACTATTATATGGCCATGTGACAAAACAAAACAACAAACACCGCCGTGCGGTTCTATTCTACAAAATGAATATCCCTGAGATGAGATGTTCGCCGGCGGTTGCATCTACCACAGCAAGGCTGCTAACTACCCAACAGACACAAGACGATATGGTGCATACAGCGTATAAAATAGTCGCCCCCCAACGTATGTGTGGAACGAGGACAATCCCAACGGGCAGCAGTTGTCAGCAAACGCAGGCGTCCGTCATGACATTAGCGAAACGCAGGAGCTGGGAACGAAATGACAGCCGTAGCAGCAGCAGCGGCAGCATCAGCACGACAATTCCCTTCCTAAAACACAGTGCAGGCAACAAAGCAGCAGCAGCAGCAGCAGCAGCAGCAGCAGCAGCATGAGACTTGCAAACCTGCAGCTTGTTGCCGGAAAGCTTGGCCCTGGTCACCGCCAACAGCGCGCGGTCATCCTGGAACAGCCCCGGAGGAAGCGAAGTCACCCCTCTTCCCTCCACGTCTAGCGTGCCCGTCTCTAGCGCGCTCCGCACTACTCCCTGCGTGTTTTACAGCAGTACAAAGTATGGTTATTTGGTGAGGGGGGTACGTGGAATGGTCATCTCAACGTGATGAACATGCAGTCCGACTCTAGGGCGCTCCTAACTACTGCCTGGTGTAATACAGCTATTAACAGTACGAACAGACGAAGGTACTGGGTAGAGAGAACGGAACTTTTTTTACCAATGTGTGAGAAGAAAATAACAACACAACAACAACAACAACAACAACAACACCAGCAGCAACTACCACTTCTTCTACTACAATAACAACGACAACAACCCTTACGCTACCTGAACGGCATCCTCCGACAGACCCCCCCGGCCCGAAGACGCAGCAGTATCATCGTCCTCGTCTGCTGCTTCCAGTCCAGGGTAGCCGGGGCACGGACCGCGAGTCCTGAGATATTTCTGTTGAGGAATTTAGGTCGGCCAAAGCAACGAAATACAAAGGGACATTTGCAGGCCGGAGGGTGCGTTGGGGTTCAAATAAAAAAGTAACGGAATGGGTGGGGGTATTACGCAGAATATGCGGAGTTGCGGTGTTAACTGTATAATCAAAATAACACAACAAAAGAGACGGAGGGTAGTGGGGATAGAGTAAACAAAGCAACTGGATGGGATGAACACAGCTGTGTTGAGGATATCATAATCTCATTTGAGGGTATGTAACAGTAACGGTTGAGAGACGCATTCGCTCTGTTTTCATCGCTGAGCAGACAGGCTAACACGGGCCCCATGATAGTCTACTCCTTTAGACTCAGCAGCAGGTATGAGTAGCAGCCTTTACATCGATTGAGGACATCAGCAGGACAGGAGGGATTCGAAATCATATAAAAATGAAATACGCAACCTACGCACACAACTTTTCACCAACAAGCCTTGAGCGACGAAGAGCGTTTCGAAATTCCACTCGCGCTAATCTACACATAAACAAACGTTGATTGATAACGCCCGCTCACAGGACCAAGAGCGTTTCGAAATCTGACGCGCTAGACCTTGGGCGATGAAGAGCGTTTCGCAACATCAAACAAAACAAAAAAAAACACACCAACCTGCACAAACAAACCTTGAGCGATGTAGAGCGTTTCGAAACATCAAACACAACAAAAAAAAAACGCCAACACCAACAAACCTTGCGAGGGCAGGTTTGGTAGGGTATACCCGTACGCTCGGGTAGATTTAATAGGCTATAAAACTTACCCAGTTGTTGGGTAGGGTATGCGATGTCCTACCAAAGTTACCCGACTTGATGGGTAGGATACAGATGTCTTACCAAAGTTACCCAGAAGGGTAGGGTATTATGTACTATACCCTGCCAAGTTTGGTAGGGTACGGGATGTCTTTACCAAAGTTACCCGAATTGTTGGGTAGGGTATGGATGTTCTACCAAAGTTACCCGAATTGTTGGGTAGGGTATGGATGTCCTACCAAAGTTACCCGAATTGTCGGGTATTGTACGGGGCGCCGTACCCTGGTTCCCGAGCCTGCCGGGTACTCTACCCGGCTGGAATCCGAACCCTAGGGTAGGATACTATCTGGTGTATTTCCGTAGCTTGACGGCGGCGTAAGGACAGTACTTACTTCCCTGCGCAAGTTCATGCTGGAGCGTTGGCACGGGTACGCTATCCCCTTAGCAGATACCAATTGACAAATACCAAATTGAGTCGGGTTGTATCATACATACCCACCATTGTTGTCGGTTTTCAAACGCAAAGTGGTCCAACCCAAGCGGGTGAGGGACCTTCGGACTGCCATATCGCACATTATACGGCACGTGTCACGTGTCAACTCAGAATTCGAAGTCTAGAACCGTAATCCCGTGTCCCTCAACCACTTCGCAGCCCGTCGGTGATCTTCATTCTACTCCAGCAGCAGTTGCACCGCACAATGAGAGATGAACTGCTGTCGATAAATCTCACGCACATCTACTAATAGTTCATCTTTAAGGTCCGTGTGAAGGTCCGTGCAGCAGCAGTAGAGGCTGCCGTTGAATCACCGGCGGGCGGCCCCGTGGCTCCTGCACCAGCTGCATCGCTCATAAGTCCGCACCCTCGTACCCTTACGGTCGGGTACTACTCCACTACGCAGCAGCAAGGGTATGCTGCAGATGCGAGCCGTTCCCACCACACAGGATGGCTCGCTTCTGACGTCACATCCTGAAATTGACAGCTTGGTAGTACTGGTTGTATACCCCCGGCTCGGCTATTCTGCTCCCCCGAGCATCGGGTAGGGATACGGAATGTCTCACCAAAGTTACGCGAGTTGTCGGGTAGGGTACCGGATGTGTTACCAAAGTTACCCGAATCGTCGGGTAGGGTACGGGATGTCTTACCAAAGTTACCCGAAGTGTTGGGTAGGGTACAGATGTCCTACCAAGGTTACCCGAACTGTTGGGTAGGGTACAGATGTCTTACCAAAGTTACCCAGAAGGGTAGGGTATTATTTACTATACCCTGCCAAGTTTGGTAGGGTACGGGATGTCTTGCCAAAGTTACCCAACTTGTCGGGTAGGGTATGGGATGTACCAAAGTTACCCAACGCTCGGGTACGGGTAGTACCCGAATCGGGTTACACGATACCCGAGTTTTTCATACCCTACCACACCTGCCCTTGAAACCTTGAGCGATGAAGAGCGTTTCGAAACACCAAAAATAAAAAAAACGCCAACCAACACCAACAAACCTTGAGCGATGAAGCCCCTCCCGACAAGAGCGAGCGGCGAATCGTTCGAAGCGGATTGCCATCAACAGCAAGCCGGTGTAGGTGCGGCAGGTAACCCAGGGCAGCCGGCAACTCGCCGAGATCGTTGTTGGACACGTCCAAGGTCTTGAGGCGAGCCAGGGACCCTATCTCTTCCGGCAGGTGGCTAATGCGGTTGCTCTGCTCACGCAAGGGAGAATAATGTTCCGAGAAAATTCCGCCAGAGTGTAGGGGGGGCGCGCACTCATTTTACTTGAGACCAAGCGGAGGCAGAACTTAGGAGAACGTTGCAGGAAATTTCCGCAAGCGTTTTCTTCTGAACACTCCTGACCATTGGCCATCATGTCTCTTTTGTAGACCGAGGTTAGCCAGAACGGAGGAGAACGTTGGAGGACTGCCATAGCACCATGGGAATATCGTAGAAGGGGCTGTCGTAAAACTTGAGCACCACGCTCCTGTCTTTGCTGTCCACGCCACCGAAGCTTTAGCCCTTCAAAGTGCATGGATCTCTCCACAAACACGGGGACACAGACACGACGACACAATATCAACAAACAAGCACCCTTCCAGCTGCAAGACTTTTTTACAGGAACACAAACAGATAAGCGTGCGCTAGCTCGAGCCCTTTTCTGTGAGACCGGAAAGATATCTTGACTCTTTCCGCACATACACACAGAGCGGCACCTCGACACACATAAAAATCAAGCGCCCTTACAGGTACAAGGCTTATCTTCCAGCAGTTACACACAAGCAAGTGCCGGTTCGTGGGATCGGAAATATACCTGAACGTGAAGCTCGGTGAGTCCCGCTGACACGCTGAGGAGGACAGCACCATCGAGGGAGGCGAGCAAGTTGAAACCCAGGAAAACCTGCGTGAAAGAAATATGGATGCACAGAGATAAACGAGAATATTGATATGAAACACTTAGAACACGCCTCTTCCGTGTTTGCACGCACACCTCGGCGAGAAAAAAAAACAAACGAAACGCGTTGTCATCTTCACTCCCCTAAAAACAGTTTCTTGTCGCCGTTATCACACCAGGTGTAAGAAAGGGTACGAATGTTTTCGCGTTACTTTCGGTGGCGTATTGACCTCCCGAGGTCGCCGCACCCTTTCAACAAAATGATTGAACGGGAACGAAAAAAACAAGCATTGCGTCTACCGCGCGATCAACCGTGTGTGTGAGCGTTCATTTCATCTGTTTTGGGCACCAGCCTTCAAGTTTCGATGCATTCGTTTGGCGCACCAGCCGGGGTCAAACAGAAGGAACGTAGTACCCACTTGACATATTTTACATTTTTTTTTTTTTAAGTGGAGCTTCTACCCGGCAAAACTGCCGTGAGCGCTGATTCAGAGTCATGAACAAGAACAAAAAAGTTTCTTTTTCGCGGAAGAAAACGCCGAAAAAAAACGAAAAGCAATTCGTTCCTGGAGGTTAGATCAACACCAGCACCCGTAAGCACCGTCACCACCATCACCACAGCAACAGCAACAACTTGCCTGGGCAAGGCGGCCACCCTCCGGGAGCGGAGGAACTTCCGTGAGCTTGTTCTCCCGCAAGTCGAGTGACGTCAGAGCCCCGAGACGCGCGAGCCCGTTCCTCGGAACCGTCTCGATGCTGCGCGGTGGCGGTCGCAATCGCGCACGCGCACGCAGCAGGATGAGGTACCAAAGGACAATTCTCGACAATCATCATGTACAGCGGCAGCACGATGCACGTGCAGCAGAGGTTGAACATTGTCCACAACTACACACCTCCGTCGCGTATGTTCGCCGATATCTGCTTGTGAGCACCCCGGAATGGACAACGCTAGATATCACACCCCCTGGACCGATTTTCAAACCTCGATCATTCCACATCACAGAGAGAGGCGGTGCCGAAAAGCGGTGTCGTTGGAACTGTCTTGCAGAGAGCTTTCCGAAAAGATGTCGTTTGATTCGGCATCCTCTTTGCTGTGGAGTACTCGAGCTTAGAGTATCGGTCCAGAGGGGGCGTGGTATCTTGCGTCACCTCCTACGGTACGCACGCACGCCCTCTCACCCGTTCCGGCTCAAGTCTAGCAGCTTCACGGAACGAAGCCCTCCCACAGACTCGGGCAGGCTCGCCAGACCGTTGTTGCTCACGGTAAGCGTCACCAGGCGCTTGAGCCCGTCGATCGACTCGGGGAGAGAGCGGATGGTGTTGTCGCTAAGCTCCAGGGTTTCCAACCCATGGAGACTTCCCACGGAGGAAGGGAGACGAGAAAGGCGGTTTCCTACCAAAAAAACATTGTAAGATTAAATTTTGCGGGAACGGGGACGGGGACGGGAGAGCGGCAGGGAGGGTACCACACGTTAACATTGACCATGGTTGGGCCGTCCAAATCCACGCGACAGTGTTGAAGCCTCCAGAGCTACTGCTGCCTCTACACCCACCGCCCCAAAGGAAGCAGGCTCTTGAGCGCTACGGGTCAATGACCGCAACGTTACATGAGCAATAACCCGACTGGTGCCGCCGCCGCCGCTACCCCCTCCGTTCCACTGCACTGCACCCCAACGAACGCCACATAGCCGTGGACCCCCCCCCCCCCCCCCCCCCCCCCCCCCCCCCCCCCCCCCC